ATTGACGCCGACCGCGATCAACGCGGCGACGATGGCGCTCAAAAAGTCCTTGCTGAGCGCCTTCACGTGCGCAAGAGCAGCCTGTAAGCCGTCGGCGACGCTGGCCTCCGGGAGCTTCCGAAGCCTTCGATTCCCCTGCGGGCCATCCGACGGACGCCCGGTGGAGGTCAAAATGGGATCAAGAAAAAAAGGCACCCCGTTTCGCGCGTGGACTGCATTGCCAAAGTTAAGGAAGCCGTTCAAGGCGAATCGATGGAGAGGGGATGCGATACTCAGGGCGTTATCGAGTTCCTCTTTCAGCCGATGACACACCTCCACCGCCTTTTCGGAGCGCTCAAGACGACGCGTGATGTGTTGTAGGGTGTTTTGTTTCTCGCGTTGACTGCTGCCGTTTGTGTTTGAAAGAAATTCAACAAAATACAATTGCACGAGGTGCATACTAAAGCTAAGGGCACAATGCAGCATGCTTCGTAAAACATTGAAGTGGTTCAACAAAAAGCGAAGATGCACACCCCCCGGGGGGCATGAAATCACGAGGGCAACTGCGGTTTGCACGGTTTGCAAGGAGTTCATCATTCCCGTGTGAGAGGCAACAAAAGCCGTGAAGGTGGTACACAAAATAACGCGATAATACCGCAGCGTGCCTTTGGCCGAGCATACCTCCTCCACCCGCAAGTTCCACGGCGGGCCTTCACGCGCTCCAACAGGCGGTGGATCGACCGTCTCTAAATTTTCCTTCTTCCGCCTCTGGCCCTGATCGATCGGCGAAGCGACAGGGGTAGAAATTAAATTCAGGCCGTTTGAATTGTCCTTTCCATTGTCCATATTTGTTAAAAAGGACATAATTGGCGACGACGGTAGGGGCGGCCGCGGAGGTGGCCGTGGGGGCAGCCTTGGTCCACGACTATCGCCCCCAAAGGCGTTAGGAAATGCCACCCCCTGGAGGCTCTGCTGGGGCACTTCCTCCAGGCTCTGTCGATGGTCGTTGAAGTACCCTACACTACCTGAATAGGGCTGATTTGCTTTGGGGTCTCGTGGACCTGATGGGCCTACTCCGGCGTCCCCAAGGTAGACTTGAGACCAATGTAAGGTACAATGGGGGCACATTTTTGCTGGATTCGGCTTTCGATCGTCATCCCCGGGCTTTGGATTATTCGGCGCCCCCCCATGAGACCGGAGGTGGGATGAGGTAGTGGCCTCACTAATGGCTCTGTCATGCGTCGCGATGATAGTCTTTGAATTGCCTTTGGGAAGGTTGTCGGGGTTGGCTTGGTTGTGATGCGGCGGGGTTTTCTTGCCGTGGAGCAGTTCCATAGGGATTCTATTGGAGTGGAAAAGAGGAGGGTTATTACGAAAAAAAACTACAAAGTAAAAGCAAGTCTGATTTAAGGCATCAGATTTTGCCGCAAATGAATTATGATCATGATAGCAGGTGAAATTATTAGATAATAATGAAGTATCTATAGATGAATGGCCTGGTGAGGCGTCAAAATGACGTGTCACGGTATTGGAATGTGGTAAATTCATTTTTTTTTTCTATATGAGCTTCACTAATAAAATTCTAGAGCGAGAATACAGTAGAGAATTGTTTAAACTTCTTTGAAATACAATTTTAGATCCAGATAAGCTACATTGTTAAAAAAAAAAAAAGAAGTAGGCAATCTACCATTCGATGATTTTGGAGCGTCTGTAGAAGCTTTATCAAGACACAATCAATTCATAGCAGAACAAAGACGGAAAATAAAATACAAATACCATAAGTAAAAAAAGATAAAGGGATGATAAATAAATAAATGGGAAACTAGAACAATTAAGAAATAGAATCCATTGAGAGCAGAAAAAGTAGAACTCAAGCCCTTTCTACCCATTGAAGCCCTTTCCGTTGAGTTGAAGGAGCCTCTGAACACGTAATACGGCTGCTGCTTCATCGAAAGGAATCTTCGAGTTCGGACTCAACGCTCGCCAGGCTTGAATGGCGTCTCCTTGGGAACTAAATTTGCCCTTGTTGGCGGTGCGAAACAATTGATAGCTGCTGACATTGACATTCGGCTTGATGTCCCGTTTCTTGCCCTGAACCGGAGGCTGAGGCGGTGCGGCACTTGAAATTTTCGCGGAGGGAAGCGCCGGTGGGGGGATCGCCAAAGGTGGCCTGGACGGCATGGGGGCCGCCACGCATGGGGCATAAGTAGGATCCTTCCACCGGTTGCTCCAGGCGTTTGCGCGTTTTTCGCACGTCTCGCGGAGCTGTTGGTCCGCATAAAACCATTGTTGGGCCAGACTGCGGTGTTGATCTCCGGCGTCCTTTTTCCATGGGTCCAAATCACCCGGATTGGTGATTTCACTGCTGCTGCTGCTGACTTCCACCTGTGCATTTTGCATCTCCGCGTCTTGGTTGGTGGGCGCGTTCGCTCGCCAAGTGATTTCATGGCAAAACACCTCAAAAGCAGACAAAGGCCGAGGTGGCAGTCGCGTTTCGCTCTCAGGCCATTCCAAAGCAGCCTGATCAAGAACTGAGAAGGCGGTTTTAGCCGTCCTCGGCAAAGACGAACACCCGGGCGATTCCGCGATCTTTATGAAAGGTACAGAACAGAGCGCTCGCGATTTTGGACGGTTGAATGAGGTGGAGCCCCTGAGCGGTTCGCCACAACACGGGCAGAAGTGCGTGGTGAAGCGACAGGAGGAGCAGGAAAATCGGGACGGCCCGCCCGAGGCGAGCTCGGATTGCTGCATAGGGGATGCTATCGTCTGAAAAAAAGGAAAAAAGAGGTAAAAAAGAGGGAAAGGATGGATTACTTGGGGGGTGGGTTCATTTAGATGAAGGTTGATATATATATATATATGTATGTATATACCTTATGTAAAAATGGCTTCAGTTACTCCCCATCAGGACGTTTTTACATTTTACTTACCAATTTCCTTTCGGTCTTCTAAATGGCAAAAGACATCAAGAAAAAAAGTGGAAAAACTTGTAAATCAAAAAGGTAAACAATAAACCAAAGTTAATTTACTAGGCAAGTACATGTACCCTATAGTTTTAAGTATATAAAGTGCTTCGATATAGGCAAATACATAGTATTTAAGTATCGTATTGTTTCCTAATTTTACCTTCTGAGAGGTTAAGAGATCAAAAATTATATTATAAAAATTAAAAAGACGACTGTGTAAAGACCCAGCACTGTTTTTGTTATTAGTCACGCATACTAAAGCTGAACCACAATAGTATGACCTTGTTGAGGGACCATTAATCGATCCATCATCCAACCATTTCGTTGAAGGTCCGAGATGAAGCGAAGGTACAGTGGATACAGATGGTCGTCGTCCGAGTCTTGGTCTAATTTAACCATTTTGTCCTCTGCGTTTTCCTGAAATTCCGGGCGTGGCTTACAGCGCTGTCGACGCAAGTCCAACACGCCGTCAGCGCGAAGCGATTGAATAACGTGCAGTGTGGCGTCGTCCTGACGTCCCAGGATCGCGGCGTGGGAGGCGGCGTCTTTGTTGTGGGGTGGAGCGCCCTCTTTGGCCTGCGTGGACATCGTCGTACCGTTTTGTCGTGGGAGCGCCATCGCGCGGGTGTGGCTGTACGCATAGAAATACGCCCATAAAGCGCGTTGGGTGGCCTTCTCCAACTCCGCCTCCGGCTGAACCCCATTGGTGCTTAAAAGCTTCACCGAGGTTTGGGAGGCCCCCCGATCGCGATGGGACGCCGATCCCGACTCCATTTTTTTCTGTGAAAGCGACGTCAGGGTAAGCTGCTTGGCGAAGCCCTCCCAGCTCTTTGGGTGGCCATCTTTACTGTGGATCTCGGAAAACAAGACGTAATAGGTCTGGTGAGATTCGTCAAAGAGAAGAGCCACACCGCGCGTTGACAGGCTTTCGCCCACTTTTTTAATAATGCAATGTTTAATTGAAGAAGCAAGGTTAGAATTATTATGTAATATTGTAAAAAGAGAAGCGCCAAAATATATTTTTATGGAAAGAAAATGAAGATATTTATACAAGAATTGTTTGAGCGCACAGAGCGGCATGAACTGGGGAAGTAGCGTTAGTGAGGGTAATGTATACACACTTTCCTTTTTATTCGCCACTTCGGGGGAGATATCCAAGCAACTTGAAATCGACCCCCTCTCTCCATTCTGCACGGAATTGGGGACACTTTCCAGGGTCGTGTCGGTTTTCTTCGCTGTGCGCTTAATCCCCACCTCATGGTCGTAAAAGCGACCTAGACACCATTCCAAACGCGGGGCGTTGAGACGCGTGAAGACCATTGAGCGAATCGTCATTTGGCTCGCAAGCTGAAATCCGATGGAAAATATAAAGAACGCTCGGAGGGTCGATTCGCATGACGTCGGAGGGGTCACAAAGGCGACGACGTTTCCAAGGAGCAGCCCGAGAAAAGTTGCCATGTTGTTAAAAGTTCGGCTCTTGGCATCCACATCCGCGGCGTTTCCTTTCTTCGCAAAGTGCGGGATTAAAGTCTGGCGAACGCCATCGCCCGTGACGGCCACCAGCGCTTTCAAAATCGACGCCGTCGCCACGAGCGCGAGAAAAAAATAGCGGCTAAACCACGACGAGCACAACTCCACCAGCAAGGCAAGATTATTGCAGATATCCGCGATATGCCGCCAGGTTTTCGCACGGCTCCCCAACCGCCCACTCCACAGCGTGGAGAGGACGATGTTGGCGACGACCAGCATCCCATCCCGCAGCATCCACGACGCCGTCGAGCTGACGGTGTTGGCGGTGGAGGCCCCCACCCCGACCCCGATCAATACCGCGCGAATCGACAAGGTGGACATAATACTACTGCAGAGCGTCTGAATGGCGTCCCACCAGGCGACCGCCACGAAGTCCGGCGTCGTGCTGTTCGGGAAGCCCGCCGGCAGCATCACGCGATCGACCCAACGACGGCAGTAAAACGAAAAAGCCCGGGAGGAGGAGGGGGGGGGGGGGGCCCCCGGGGCCAGCGCGTAGGTCTCGCGCGCGCTCACCTCCTGCGTGATCTGCAGGCCGTCCCGCGTGGCGGAGCTGAGGGTGAAGACACGCTTATAACTCCCTTCGAATTCGCTGATCATCCGGGGGTTCGGGGTTGGTGGAGGTGGGTGTCGAGGTTCGTAGAGAGTTTGGTTTAAGGATGTTTGGAAAAGGACCTTTTTATACGCCCTATGGGCTTTTTTTTATATAAATTAAATTTGATATAGAATTTATTATTTTATAATGTTCAATAAAGAAATTAAATAAGTAATGGTTATGCTGCAAAAAAAAAAAAGAGGTATTAATGATGCAAAGAAATTCTAATTTTTTTTATTTTAGAAGACTAAAAACTAAGGACAGATGAGAACAAAATAAGTAAAAAAAGGACAAATAGGCTAAATGCGATAATAATTATTGAATAAAACACTGATTGATAGGCAATCTTGTTATCATTGGGATTTGCTATAATATATAAGCAGATATAATGATCATTTAATTCGTTTGATTCACCCTTTGCATATACCAGATAGATGGGAGGCTCCTTGTCTACTTTTTGTGAAGTAAAACTAAATGCATTCCATCCGTAATTAGGTAATTCAAGACGTTTCACATTTTTGAAAAAATCACGCAATAAAAATGAAAAAAAAATTATAAATTTGTATCACATAAAAATTCTCTCCCCACAACTAGTGCTCCCCCCACCTCTCCCGAAAAAAATTGCGAACAAAATGGCGATGGTAGCAGCACGACGACTAATAAAAAGAAGAGTACAATCCTCGTTTACAGCGTGTTGTTCTATTAAACGCAACATGGTGCAGTGCGTAGTATCCTTTACACAATAAAAACACCCCATTTTGCCAAGCCAAGCGTCGAGGTTAAAAGGGTGTCTTGCCCTCTAATCGCTTTCGGGCCTCATCCGGTCCGTCTTTCGCCGTTGGCCCCCTTTCCCGCGGTGATCCCGGGGTCGGTGGGTCGGCGCGATCGGGCGCGATCGCCTTCGGCGGGGTCTCCCGCGTCGGGCGGGGCGAGTCGACGGCGGTAGAACCCGCGCGCCCCCAACCCCGCCCGGGGCCCGCGAGTTCCTTTAGTTTGGCGTGGAAGAGGGCGATTTGGCCGCGCGCGCGGTCGTCCCCGGCCTCGCTGTCGGCCTGGCGAAACACCAGGCGAATGAGCGCCTCGACCTCCGCCGTGGTGAAGCGCGCGTAGTCCTCGGTCGCGATCAGCTCATTGACGACATCGTGGGCGGCGATATACCGCAGAAAGACGGCCGGCCGCCCCATATAACGCCTCACGGCGTCGTAGACCGCGAGGTCGGTGGGCAAAATATGCTGAAAGGCGGCCTGAAGAAGCCGCAAATTCGCGTTCAGGCGCGCCAGCCCCGCCGGTGAGATGGACTTATCCCGAAGCCGCGCCATCTCCAACAACACCAGCTCGCTCGCCGGCCTCGATAAGGTCAGGCAGGTGTATTTGATGTTCTGCCAGGGCAAATAGGGCTTGACCAGGGCGTAAAAATTCTTGAGGGAGCGCGCGTAGGCCTGGACGAAGGTGTCCGCCGAGGCCGAAAGCACCGCGGCGCTATAGCCCTCATCGCGGAGCTGTGGGAGAAAGCAAAAAGCCCTAAACCGGGCCTCGATGGACAGATCAAACAAGGAAAGCTGGGAAAGGGTGTACAGACGTGTCAGGTGGCCCGACAGGCGGACCTGCCGCTGGGCCGTGGCCCTCCCCGCGGCGTGCGGGATGCGGGCCAAATGAGCCCCGCGGAGGATCTCGCGGAAGCGGTGGCCGGGCACGCAGCCGTCGGCGTCGACGGAAAGACGCGCGCCGTCCGGCCAGAGATCCCGCGCGATGGCCTCGCAGAGCCACTGGGTGGAAAAGCAGGTGGCCGCCAACGCCACGACGGCGCCATCATGGCCGAGGCAA